TAATAAATTAATAAATTATTTAATTAAAATTTTAATTAATAAATGAATATTAACTTGATTAATTTTATTATTTTAATTGCAATAAGAATATTAATAACTTAATTAAAAGTATAATTAATAAATAAATATTAAAATAAATAAAATAAGAAAATCAAAATAAAATATATTATTTGGGGCGGGGCGGGGGCGGGTGCGGGCGGGTCTTAGTGTCTACCCGCACCCGCACCCGTAGTTAAGAACCGGGTTTCACCCGCACCCGCACCCGCACCCAATTAAATCGGATTTCCCCCGTTAATTTCGGGGCGGGCCCGGGCGGGTGTGGGCGGGTCCGGGTTTGTTTGCCATCTCTACTCAGGCATAGCTGCTACATTATTACCTGGTGGTAGAACTGCACACTCTCGATTTAGGATCCCCATTGATATAGAGCCCCATTATATTTGCAAAATAGCAGAGAATTTTGACCTTGCAAAACTCATTAGAATAACTAAAGCAGACATTTCGAATGAAACACCCATGATAAATAGATATTGTGTAGAAGCATTAGATCGATCACTACAAGACATCATGAATAACAATGCTCCATTTGATGGAAAAATAATGATCATGGACGAAGATTTTCGTCAGGTGCTTCCTGTTATTGAAAAAGGAAATAGAGGACAAATGATTTCAGCATGTATTGTTAGGTCTTGACTATGGGCCACCACAAAGGTTCTACATTTACGCCAAAAGATGTGATCCATTCATGACCAGGACTTTGTGCAATTTCTGATGAGGATTGAAGATGGTAATGAATTTACTAAAGAGGAGGATATGGTCAGGATGCCTGCTTAAATTGTAATACCATACAAATGATAAAGCTTCATACAAAAGCTTATACAACATATATTTCCCCGATTAGAAAACCATGGATGGGATGCTTCATATATGGTGGAGAGAGCGATACTTACTCCAAAAAATTGTGATGTGCATATTTGAATGACATGATTATTAATAATTTCCTTGGAGATGAACATATTTTGTTATATTTTGATGAGGTTGAGGGTGATACTCATAATCTATATCAACAGGAATACTTGCACACAATTGCTCTTGGTGCTTTACCGCCACATATTTTAAAGATAAAAATAGGGGCTCCACTGATGTTGTTGCGAAACATAGACCCTGAATTTGGGTTGTGTAATGGGACAAGGTTGTTATGTCATAGTTTTTTTATGAATTTGCTTGATGTTGAAATACTTACGGGTCACAATGCTGGAAAAAGAGCTTTCTTGCCAAGAATTAAGCTCAAAACCAATGAAGTTGCGGGACTTCCTTTTGTGCTTATTAGAAAACAGATTTCTGTCAAACTAAGCTTTGCAATCACTATAAATAAGTCACAAGGGCAGACAAGGAATTTATCTTCCACGACATATTTTTAGTCACGAACAATTGTATGTTGCTTTATCAAAAGGTGTTTTGCGGGCTGCAATAAGAGTGCTAATTAAAGATGGAAGAGTAGATGAGGAAGAAGGGGAGTTTACCAAAAATATAGTTTTTAAAGAAATTTTGTTGTCACGAACTCAAATATTTATCTATTATGTTTAATCATTAAACTATACTTTTGCAATGTCACACTAGGCATGTACTTACTAGATTACACTATATCGTTGACTACTAAAATTTATTTCATTTGTTTTGCAGTGAAACGAGAGATATTTCTGATGTTGATTCCATGGTTGACCTTCCTATTAAACAACAATGTAATTTAATATATGTGTTAATGTTTTGTTTATTGCGCTTAATAAACTGTGAGAAAGATTTTTGTTCTTATTCTATCTAAACCTTCTTATGGTTTTGAATAATATGTAGCAATATATAAATACAAAACTTAATTTTGGTGTAACCTATTTTCTTTTTCCATAAGATGGTAATCCTAACCACCAAATTATTCCACTCACATTGTTGATTTGCTTTAAAAAACTAGTTAAATAAAGTCACGTCACAATGCGATTTTCTCAATTCAAACAAAATTTAATGCACGAATATTACATATTGCAAACAAAACTTAATATGTATCTGAATAAATACAAGATGTTTTATCATATAAATAGTTTATATTAAAATCAAACTTATAAAAAAAGACGTTGTTAATATTTTCACGTGTTAGCGCAATAAAAAAAAGCGGACAAGCGGACACGTTTGGACGCTAATAATAATAATAATAATAATAATAATAATAATAATAATAATAATAATAATAATAATAATAATAATAAGAGAAATGCTAACTAGTTAAGAAATTAAAATGGTAAGTTAAACATTATTTAAGAGATTAAAAGACATGTTTTTTTTCTAAAAATATGTGTATTCAATGTATTAAAAATGAAAATAATCAACTTTTTAAAGAGTAATGTGTATATTCAATGAACTGAACATAATATATTTTTTTATTTGAAATTCTTATTCGGTGCACCAGAGCACTAGTTAGCATGACCTTAATAATAATAATAATAATAATAATAATAATAATAATAATAATAATAATAATAATAATAATAATAATAATATCAAATTAAAAATCAGAATTAAATCAATATCCAATCAAATAAAATCACTATCAAATATAACATATAATGTCACTAATTAAATCAAAATCAGAATCAAATCAACATAAAATAAACACAAAACTAAATAAAATCACTATCAAATATGACTAATAAAATCTAATGAAAAAATGATTAAAATAAAATATAAGAATTATGAAAATATGACTAAAAATAAATAAAATAAAATAACAAATCTACAATCTTGTTTGTATTTTTTTTAAATATGAAAATAGAAAAAAATTCAAATAAAATAGAAAAAAAAGAAATTTGTGATTTTGAATGTCAAAATTCCTTAAAAGTCTCTTAAAAGTACTTGTTGATTTTTTTCTTCTGATTTTCTAAAAAAAATTCGGAGCAATTCAACGAAATAGCTTATAAAGTCACCTGATAAACTGAGATACTTACCACTATATTGCAACTATGAAAGTCATGTAACCAAAAAAAAATAAAAATTCTAGCAATATTATAAACTAGGATTCTAAAATTGGCTAAAATCAACAGAGTCCCTACAACGTTACGTAGTAAACTAGGATTCTAAAATTTGATCCGCTGTCGCATACGGGTCAAAAATGAGTTTAATAGACGTAGTAAATGAAAGCGACACTCAAGTCATATCACAAAGACTATTGAATATTTTAACCAATCAATTGAAAGAGGGAATTTTGATTTTCGATCAAGAGTATGATTAACAAAATTTGATTTGAATCAAATTAACGATTTTCAAATTCTGACCTATCAGTGACTATTATAACTCCAATTTATTAAACGGATTCAATCCCTATTCGATTTCAATATCGATTAAACAAACGTAATTGAAATTATATTATTTGTCATATTTTTTGAATTAAGCAAACAGTTAAGGATTCAGTGAATTAATGAAAAAACTAAGCTAAACGCGATTAAACTTATGAACATACATCTATCGAATTAAATCAATATATTCTATGAAACCTAGATTAAGCATGCAAGAAACATATATTAATATTGAAAGGAATTGAAATCGAATTGAAATTACAATAAACTCAAGGTTTGATGGAAACTTTAATCGATAGATCAACCTTTCATAATTAGCTTTCCATAGAAATTGTAGTTGTCTAATATTATTTTATGTAAACTAAGAATGATTAACCTAATACTGCAAATTTGTTTAAATAATACAAGAGAAATTGGACCCTAACAGAAACTGACCGAAAAACATAAAAATCGCCCCAAAACAAATGATTTCTTAAGTCTGACACGAAAATACAATATTTGACTCTTTTGCACTCCAAATTGCATTCTCCCTTCAACACAAAACTTGTAGTTTATCCTCTCAACTTTCTAGCTCATATTAGAATGCGTCAAACGACATATTATAACTTAAGTTATAATCTCCATAATAATAAAGTGTCAAATTACTATTTATTCAAAAATAAATGACAAAAATAAAATAGGAATAAAATTAAAATAAAATTAGAAAAATATTAAAAACAATAGAAATTAAAAAAAAAAGTTATAAAATTATCGTAGCACAATAATAAAGAAATAATAAAGAGTGCATTAAAATCTACCGATCACAAAACCACTCTTTTCAATTGATTCAAGCATGAATTTTTCTTGCCCTAGCACTTTCTTTCTCTCTCACGCATTTTTCATTCTCTTCTTGCTAACAAGAGTTCTGAATTTTAGTGAGGAGAAGAAATGAGAAAAAAAAAGACATTTCTTTCCTTCCTTGAGACTTATATACTCGTCTATGAGAATTACTCAAATGCCCTTGCTTCATTTCCCAAAACGCTAACCAATGCCACTAGGAAGTTAGACTATAGACTTAGTTTAGTTATACACTAATCTTGTCACTTAGCCTTAATTTACATTTCTTCACTACTAACTCTCTGTTAAGTGTTAAACATGATGGGTAGAAATTCTGGATATTACAAATTACCTATCAACCACCAATCATGAAAGAGAGTGTGTCAAACAAATAAGTATACCTCATAAATAAGTGTACCTTTTACTCCAATAAAAATGTTGCAAGCATACCTTTTTTTTTCAAAGTGTCAAGTGTGAAATGCAAAAACAAACATTCAGCCTCACATAATTAGTTGCAACAACTACATGCCAATATTGTCAAACCTTACTAAACCTATGAAAAAAAACCCACAAAAAGCAATGAAGCTATGCCACCATATTAATATATCAATTTATTTTCGCCGACCACTCATTAATTCACATTTTTTCAAATTTATAGTTCAACCACCACTAACCACGTGTCCAATTTCTCTATTTTTCTTCTCCAAATACAACACTTAATTATTCACATTCCACATATACATATAAAACACCATGCCATATCCATACCATTTAGTTAGCTTGGCTCTTTTACTATAATATCTATAACAATCAACTCATCACACTAGCATGCAAGTGTAGCTTGGCATGGCTTCTTCATTTATGTACTATTGGATTTTTGTTACTATGTTCTTGAGTTGTTCTGGTGTTTGCATTTCGAGTGAGATTGAGTTGGGCTCAAGATTATTGGCTAGTAAAAATCAAGTTTGGGTTTCTGATAATGGAACATTCGCTATCGGCTTCACTCCATCAGACGCTGATAATCGATTATTCACATTCGGCATTTGGTTCGCTAGCCTTCCAGGAGATCGAACTTTCGTTTGGTCACCCAATAGGTACATCTACTATTAACTAATATCACTACTTTCTTTCGTATTCGTATTGTATCCTAGATTTTTCAATGACTCACGTAGCTGTTATCTGATACATATCGTATCGTGTTCATGCTTCATTGTTGCATTATCATACTATCTTTCTGCATACATTGTCAATGAACTGATTAGTTTTCTTTTTCAATCCAAACAGAAACTCACCAGCATCTCAAGAAGCAATTCTGGAGCTTGACACAACAGGAAACCTCGTTCTCGTCGACAAAAAAGTCACCATATGGGCCTCAAACACCTCAAATGCTAATGTAGAATCTGCAACCATGTCAGAATCAGGAAACTTCATCCTTCACAATATAAACAACCACCCTATATGGCAGAGTTTTTCTCAACCTTCAAACACACTTCTTCCGAATCAGCCTCTAACTGTTTCTTCAGAGTTAACATCGTCAAAATCTTCGTCTCATGGTGGCTACTACGCTCTCAAAATGCTTCAGCAACCGACTTCGTTAAGCCTTGCACTAACTTACAATCTTCCAGAAAGTTATCAAACTTTTGATGAAAATGAATCGTACGCAAACTATTCTTATTGGCAAGGTCCTGAGATTTCCAATGTAACCGGAGAAGTTATCGCGGTTTTAGATCAGGCCGGAAGCTTTGGAATTGTGTATGGAAATTCATCTGATGGTGCAGTTTATGTTTATAAGAATGATAATGATGATGCAGGTTTAGCTTCTGCAGTTCATCAATCTACGCCGTTAACCGTTCTTAGAAGACTGACACTCGAAGAGAATGGAAATCTGCGGTTGTATCGATGGGAAGACATAAATGGATCGAAACAATGGGTGTCACAGTGGGCTGCAGTTTCAAATCCATGTGATATTGGTGGAATTTGCGGCAACGGGGTTTGTAAATTGGATAAAACTAAGACTAATGCTTCTTGCACTTGTTTACCAGGAACTTCTAAAGTTGGAAGAGATGGACAGTGTTATGAGAATTCATCTCTTGTTGGAAAATGTACTAATGGAAAAAACGAAAACACAACATCGAATTTTAGAATTTCAACTGTGCAACAAACTAATTATTATTTCTCTGAATCATCAATAATAGCTAATTATAGTGAGAGTGATGTTTCTTCTGTATCAAAATGCGGCGATGCATGTTTATCAGATTGTGATTGTGTTGCTTCTGTTTATGGACTAAATGAAGAAAGACCTTTTTGTTGGGTGTTGAGGAGTTTAAGTTTCGGCGGTTTTGAAGATACGAGTTCTACTTTGTTTGTGAAGGTTCGAGCCAATAGTTCATGGACACCAGAAGGACAAGGAAGGTCTAATAACAGTTCTTCTGATGGAATGGGGAGTGCTAAGGAAAAGGCTGTGATTATTCCAATTGTTTTAGGCATGATAGTTCTTATTATTTTACTCTCTATGTTACTGTATTATAGTGTTCATAGAAAAAGAACTTTGAAAAGAGAGATGGAAAGTTCATTGGTCTTATCAGGTGCTCCAGTGAATTTTACTTACCGCGCTTTGCAAATCAGGACAAGCAACTTTTCGCAGCTTCTCGGAACAGGTATGTGTGTCCTATATTGAGTTGAATCTTACCGCGCTATGGTTTCAGTATAACTTGTTGCTAACTGTTTATATTTGTAGGTGGATTTGGAAGTGTGTATAAAGGAAGCTTAGGAGATGGTACCTTAGTAGCGGTGAAGAAACTTGATAAGATTTTGCCTCATGGAGAGAAAGAATTTATCACCGAAGTAAACACGATTGGCTCAATGCATCATATGAATTTGGTTCGTTTATGTGGTTTTTGTTCCGAGGGACCTCAGAGGTGCGTACTATTTTATATACAATTCTATCATGAAAATTCAAATTTCAATGCTGTAATTGGCTTAAGCAATGTTTGTTTTGCAGGCTTTTAGTTTACGAGTTTATGAAGAATGGTTCATTGGATCAGTGGATCTTCCCTTCAATTAGAGGGCGAGATAGATTGCTCGATTGGCAAACTCGTTTCGATATAGCCAAAAATACTGCACAAGGGATTGCATACTTTCATGAGCAGTGCAGAAATAAGATAATACATTGTGATATCAAACCAGAAAATATATTGTTAGATGAAAACTTTTGTCCCAAGGTATCTGATTTCGGACTTGCTAAATTGATGGCAAGGGAACATTCTCATGTGGTAACAATGGTAAGAGGCACTAGAGGCTATTTGGCACCAGAATGGGTTAGTAATCGACCTATAACCGTAAAAGCAGATGTTTACAGCTATGGAATGCTTCTTTTAGAAATCATTGGTGGTAGAAGAAATCTTGATTTGTCTTTTGATGCAGAAGATTTCTTCTATCCTGGTTGGGCTTACAAGGTATATCTCATATTTCATATAATACTAACTTAGTAATTCCCCTTGTCTTCCTATTACTATTTTACTCATAATATTTTAAAACCAAACTGAATAGTACAACCAGATGAATCGTGAACCAAAAGTGTCCGCAATTCAGTTATTTGAACGGTGTTAATTGAATGTTTGGTTATTATAGGAGATGACAAGTGGGTCAACAATCAAAGTGGCAGATAGAAGATTAAATGGAGCAGTTGATGAAGAAGAACTAACAAGAGCTTTGAATGTTGCCTTTTGGTGCATCCAAGATGATGTTTCAATGAGACCACCAATGGGAGAGGTGGTGAGAATGCTTGAAGGTCAAGAATCAAATATCATAAACATGCCACCAATGCCACAAACGGTGCTAGAGTTAATTGAGGAAGGGTTGGACCATGTCTACAAAGCTATGAAAAGAGAGTATAATCACTATAGCTCATTCACCATTACAAGTCATCTTACATCTCATGCCACATGTAGCAATTCCACAATGTCACCAAGATAGTGTTTAAATTGTAGTATAGATAAGTTTTGCCATGAATTTGTAATTCTTTTGCTTTCTCCAAAAGCTTAAAATTGGTGTTTTGTGAAAATTATATTTAGTTGTAAAAATTGTATAAAAAGTTGTATCAAATATTTAGTGACAAATTATTACTCATTAATTGTTAGCTACCATTCTGTTTATCACACGTCGTCCCCACGCACGTGCTAAACACACATGCGTATCCACCACTGTTGTGTCCTAAAACCTCCACATCCGGTAGATCGCCGACTCATCCAGACCAACACTACACCAACTCCCTCACCGGCGCAATTCACCAACCGCACACTTTCCGATACAACGCCGTAACCGTAAAACGAAACCCTAACGCTATTCGATCACCGCTTCCGTTTCAACTCCACAATCAATTCTGAATTATATCTATTATAATCGCTAACAGTGTTATCTCGCGCGTTGTAGAACATGGAGAAGATGCATTACGCTGAGGAGTTAGTAAGGGAGTTTCTCGTCTTTCGAGGATTCACCAACACTCTCGAAGCTTACGAAACGGAATTGCGCACCGATGTCGGAAAAGGCTTTCAGGTTGACAAAATTCTTGACCTAATCTTCTCGTTATACGTTCCGAAGTTTCAGATTGATAAATTGGTAGCGCTTCTCGGTTTCTTCAAACACTATCTCTCTTCGTCGTTCGAAACTACACTCGTTTCAACTTTCTCTAAATTGGAGGCTTCTCTTTTGCGATTCTACATTGTTCACGCTTTGCAATCCAATCGGAGGGATAAGGTTGTTGAGTTTTTCACTGTTCATGGTCCTGATTTGTTGCAGAGTTCTCAGGAGGATTGGACTCAATGGTTTGGTGCGTTTTTAGGTTTTTTGTGGTTTTTTTTTTTGTAATGAAAATTCAGTGTGTGAATGTGATGATGAGATTATGTATTGCGTTGCAGCAATTCCTTATGCGAAGAATCCACAATTGGATCCGGAATTTCGAATATTTTTCTCCAAGGAGTGGTATCAGGCTTTGCATCTCTCTGTTAGAAACTTCTTTAGTGAGATCTTCAATGCTACTCATATCCTTCATAACATTTGTTTGAAAGAAAAAAACAGTTTCTCTTGTTTCAGATAGATTTTTTTTTTGGTGCATTTCAGGTGTTATTACAGATTCTTAGGTAACATGGTTTTCGCTCAATTACTGATTTTACAATTGTTTATAGTTTCAAAAGTAGGTTGAAGGGTGTGACTAAAAATAAGGATAGGTTGATTCATGCTTGATATGTTGGGGGTGGGGTGAAGGCAAATGAAACAACTCACAGAATGATATCATGCTACTGCTATGAAGCACTTCATACTGATAGTTGTAGGGTGTTTATTGATACAAATTGGGCCGACTAAACTAGAGAGAAAAGTGGTTTCCTGTTTAAAAGATGGACAAGGAGCTGATCCTAGAAAGTTTTTAGATGAAAGGATACACGAATACCCGAAATAATATTTTTGAATGAGACAAAAAATATACTTTTAAGCATTGTTTCAAATGTACAGTCCTATACCTGCACAACCCTAGAGTCTCTCTTATTCTAATGTAAATTTGATTCATTCATGTATTCTTTTACCTAGAAATCTTCTAAGAGCTTCTTCTCGTCAGTGTCTCATCTTTTCGCACGGACTATCACTCATAACCCTCTTCAGCTTTGGGTGTTACACAATGTTGTCGGTGGAACGCAGAAAATAATGGTTTGTATCTAATTAATTAAGGAACAAACTCGCCACCTAATCGACTAGGAACCCTTTTAATGAATTAGGATACAATTCTGGATAATTTGTTTCCTTATTTTCTAGGTCTAATCGATTAGCGTCGCAGGCTAATCTATTAGAGAGCGATCAGAGGCCATGGATTATTTTCTTTTTGAACCAAATTATTTCTTCTATATAAAGGAGTCTTGTACACTACCGTGCTATAGCGTTGCAATAGTGGCTATATGACAACATTTTGAACTAAATAGCAGATCGCAGAACACTAGTGATTTATTCAAATTCTGCTATGCTTTAGCACTAGCACCGCAATTTGACAACACTGGTGTCACGATCTCATACATACACCGTTTCTATAGATTATACTTTTTATTTGATTTTTTCATGTCTTCTACATTGACAATTTCATCAAGACCCTTTGTAATTATCCTTAATAAAATCACGCCTACCTGCTCTACTGAAGATTAGTTCAGAGATGAATGCTACCAGCCTACTCAAAAGAGATATCACACAGCTAAATATTAAATTGTCTGAACTTCAGGCCTTACTCAATGAGAAAGAGACACAATTAAGGCAGTTTAAAAGGTAAGCATATTTTTATTCAACGCTCAAGTCTAATAAGTCTGGTTTACCTTTCTAATTAATTTGGATTGAAGTATGGAAGGAAATATTAGCTCATCAAGCAATTTGCATGAAGAAAGTACTCATATGTCAAAAGATTCTCCAGAGACTTTTCCACGAGAAGTTCAAACAGAGATTGGCCAAGATTTAGTTGTGGGTGAGCCTGGAAGTTTTCAGTCTGAGTTTGTTAGCTCTAAGTCTGGCGAATTGAATCACTATCTTGGAAACGGCAAAGCTGGCAATAACACTTTAAAAGGTCATGACAGTCCCCATATAGGCAGACAGATATACTTCAAGTCCGCATCTTCTGTGTGAAGTGACTTAAACTAGTTGCTTGATCATTGTTTTATAAGCAAGTTGATGGCTACTTTATATAAATAGACTTATTAAAATTCATGTGCTGATATGTTCTGATGTTGAATTATTGTTTTAACAAGATAGGAGTAACTAGTTAACTAGTCATCAGTGTATGGAAAAGATAGATAATGTTAGATGTTAGTTAGTGAACTCTGAGAAGTAAATGAAATTGTCTCGCAGTATAACTCTATGCAATGTTGAGACAAGTTATGATATTGCTTTTACACTGCAGCTTGCTGTAACTTGTAAGCATAACTTGCTCTAAAACAATATACTGATTTCGAGTGAGGTAGACAATATGTTTTGGTTTCAAATGATGGTATTTGTTGTGAACCCTACAAAATGTGGATTCTGTTGCAGAACTCATGGAAATGAAACAAGAAAGCTTTGTATTTTTATTTAGCATTGAGAGAGAAGCAACAAAATTTTAACTATTATATTATTATTTCTGAAAAATTTTCAAGATGCATTGTATTCTCTTAATTAGCTCCTAATCTCGTTGCACTGAACTCCAAACCAAGTTTAATTTTCTGTATGCCGAGTAAATTGATTTTAGGTTGAGATATCAACTGCAATTTCAGTTACCTTGATTATATATTTGGAAATAAAAAGAATAAAAATTAATTGTGGCAGAAAACGATGGGGATGTGTCCAGGGAAGAAGACTTTGATGAGGTCAATGTAGAGCACCAGGTAAAATTTGTACATAGAGCCTTGTTTGTGTTCTTTTCCTCCCTTTGTTCTGCATTTTTCATCTTACTCCCAATTATCAAGAGCATATTATATTTTCTACAAAATCTGTGTAAATATGAAATCATTATGGATTTTAGGAGACATTTTTGGGGCACACCAGTCCAATCAGCCGGTGCCGCTTCTCTGCATCTGGAAACAATATTGCTAGTGCTTCTCTAGATGGAACTGCCAGGTACCCTCTCTCGGAGGTGATATAAACTAACATATCGAGCTTATTGATTAAGTGCAAAAATAGATTGGTCTTTATCTAATTATTAGTCCTGAGATTGCTAGCTGTAGTCTGCACTCATTTTCAACTATTGAAAAACTCTGTTTGTGTGTGGATGTATTTATAGCAACATTGTTAACAATGTATAAGAAATTAAATAGATAGAAATGAAGTTTATTGTACTACATTATTGTTTGGAAGTAGCACTTTATAATGCCTATTTTCAATAATGTTTTTCCTTTACCTTTCAAATACCTACAACTCTTTTTTATTTTTAAGAAATCTCTCTCAAGAAATTTGGTCTTACTTTGTTGTTTGCTCTACATCTTTCGATAAAGGATATGGACATATGATGCATCAACTCCGGCATCTAGAAATGCAACCATATATTGCGGCACTGAAATTCTGTCACTTGACTGGGAGTGCAAATCAGACCGCTTGGTATGTGAATTGATTTATCACTGTGATTGAAATTATCCCATTCTATTGATTATATTACATTGTAAATCAAAATAATTGAGTTGTTCTTCTTGATAAAAGCTTCTGATAGGTACATCTGATGCGTGCATTAAGGCATGGAATGTGGACGCAAAGAGAGTTGTTTGTGACCTTAATACAACTGAAGCATTTCCAAGGTATTTCCCGTGTATAAACTTTTCAGGTCTGTGTATTTACTTTCAACTGTCTGACACAAGTGTATGTGATTTTACAGTGTATTGGACATAAAGTGCAGTCCTGTTGAACCTATTTTTGTGTCTGCAGCAGCATCTGGAGGGTATACATCAAAATTTTAAATATTGAATTCTTTTACTTAAATAGTAAAATTGCTGAATTTGGTGATTTGAATATTGATCATTTGTTTTAACAGTGTTAGTCCAATTTTGTACATTCTCTAATTTGAATTTTGGACATAATAATGAATGTATGCTGAAAAAGTCGTGATCAGGGTATCCCACCTTTTATTACGCCCTATATGGACATCCTTTTCATTGCTTTTTGGTTGTTAGTATTACACTGTTGACACAGTTTAGCATGGAATTATGAGGTCAGTTTTATCTTTGTAGGTCTGGTTCCAACTATTTTGACAACCTGGGTTTTGCTTCACTCACTGTATGGAACATGAAGACATGGAAGGCCATGGTATGTGCTTCTTTGTATATAATACTTAAGCCGTTCAATGGCTATGTTTAATTTTGGATTCCATAAAGACAGTTCTTCCACTTGGAGAAGATCCACCAGCAATTACTTCTATATGTTTCAATCACAATGGGAAGATTTTAGCGGCTTCTGCTGTTGATGGAATGATTCACATGTTCGGTATCCTTTTTATTCACTTGGTTGCTTAGCTTGTATTTAGTTTTTAGAAGTTACCCATGAAATAAATTTTGCAGTTTTTTTCTTTTTAATTTTTAACATAAGAAAACATGTTTTGAATGTCTACAAGAGTCACATGGTTTGACAATCATGTCACCCTTAACAAACCAAAGACATGTCCGCTGGTCTACAAATCACTGGCTGGCCTGCTCATGATTCTTCCATCAGTTCTATTCTTTTTGGACCGGATGAGACTAGCATTTTTAGCTTCGGCTCTGATGGGAAGGCAAGCACTATTAATTTAATGTTATTATCCCAGTTTGTAGAATAGATTGCAAACTTCATTGTAATTAATTCTTTGTTAACAGATTTTTGAGTGGAGCTTGCAAAACCAAGGTCAAATCTTGTGGTCAAGAGACTGTAGTAGGTATATTTCTAGTTTGACACCTTATGATTAAACTTACAACATTTCCTTTTTCTTTTTGTGCCAATGCCAGCCAAAGATTGCAAAATCAGATAAATGAAATGAAGGGATGTAATAAATGGCTGGTCCTTTTTTTAAGACCACCTTTTTTTACCGCAGAACATGTGTACGCAATTTCAAATAGTATACACGTGTTTATTTTATTGAGTATTACTAATACTATAAAATCATGTTACAATTTAATTCAAATTACGAGGGGCTTGAACCAATCACATAACCCACGTCAATCAGATTCAATTCATTTGTGGAATAGGTGATATGACCTATGTATGAAAATGTTTTAGCTCATTCATGCTAAATGAGGAATAATGATGTATCCCCATTCCTTTATCCTTGCTTCTAGATATGTTTTGAATAATTAATTCTGATCATGGTATTTTTTGCATTTTTTGTAGGTTTTGTTACCCTGTTAATGATTCAAATTATTTTAGACGTGATATGGCATTAGATGCAAATGGGAGGAGACTCTTGGTGACATCCAGTTCAGTTAGAGCACCCATATATCAGGTTGATGTTTCTTGATTTCTCTGCATGCATTATAATTAGACCTTCCCTTTGAAGGGGTTATAATCTGCTTATTTGTATTTTAATATGACTTCTAAAAGCAAGTAAATTTTGGCGTGAATATTTCTAATTATCTT